TTATGGTAATGGCAGCACGTGTGATTGTTGACAAACATAACTGACTAAAACATAGTCGAAGTAATATTTGAAATGCAAAGCGACGACGTAAGTGGGAAATTATATTCTTAGACCGATTGTCCATATAAAATAAGATTTAATTGATAGTGGTTCAAAATATTTAAACATTCAACCATCATTACCATGTTGTGTTTGATCTGTGGAACTTGTGGTATGCATATCATTCTTTGCCTAGTGTTTTATATGACCTGATAATGATATAATGATTATTATATTCAGTTTTATTGCTGTGATCAACAACAATCAATTCTTTTCAACTTTAAATAAGATGGGTTCAAATATTTTTAAAATATTGGAAAAAGATTCCCCCTAAACCTAGACAGAAATCCTTGGCCTGATGACATGTGACCTTTTTGTCCCGATGATGAAGGCCATTTTAGTCAGAAATATTTGGGAATAAAACCTAACTTATTCTGAAAATAGTAGATTTAGTCTAATGAAATGGTAGAGAAAAAATTAAGCTGACACTATTATTTTCAGGTTATATGGAGTATAATCAATAATTCATTTTGTTCTCATAAAATCAAGTAAGTCATATTCAAGCCTCTATTCAACTCAAAATCCCTCTTTATACCTTATTATTCTATATCAATGGGTATTATCACTGACAAATGCTTCGATTAGACCTACTCCTGCGAAATATTTTAGATTGTCAAGAAAGGCCAATGTTAATCTCTTTTGTTGCATTGATTTCATATTACAATAACTTTTTGTTTTCTCCTACATAAAGTTATTTTAAACTTCAGCTGACATTTTAATTTTTCAGAACGAAAACACAGACATTTTGTCGCAATGAATATAATTTGACTGGTTTATGTAGTAGAAGAGCATGTCCCTTAGCTAATAGTCAGTATGCTACAGTACGAGAAGAAAAGGGTGAGAACCAATAAAAACATTATAAATGGCAAGAATCTGATATAAAGACTCATTTTACATTAAAAAACATGGCAGTGTTCTCCACTGAACTTCAAACATTTGCTTGAAACAAATTTACATATACTAAAATTTCAGATAATGGTACATAAAATCAAGGTGATTTATGTAGTGTAACCAACCAACAGTATAAACATGGAAGTATATACTTGAATTCTTGTTCAGCAAGGCATTGTATTGTTTCATGGTTTCAATGTTTTCATATCGACTTTTATTTGTTTTGTCACAGGGAAGGAACATTTGGTGATAGTTATTTATATTTGTAGGTATTTGTTACTTATATATGAAAACAGTAGAAAGAGCTGCCTTTCCTAGTCGTATGTGGGAAAAAGTCAAATTATCCAGGAATTATGAAAAGGCTTTAAAACAAATAAGTGATGAATTAATTTATTGGCCAAGGTAATATACGAGAAATTTTAAAATGATATTGTTATAATTATACATTTACTGACATGTCTATTTTATAGCAGAATTCTCTGACTTTGTAAACTTAGTTACTTGGAATACAACAGTATTTTATCTTTTAAACAGAATTCAATAAAAGAATATTTATGATTATATTTGAAGTAAAATAGCATATCAACCCCTAGAAAACAAAATGAAATATTACCAACATGAAGTAAAGAACAGATTTATTCGTTTTCAAATCTGATAGTTGTTTTTGTTTGAAGTTTACTCATGTAAGAATGTTATGGAAACAAGGTTTGAAGTTTACTAATGTAAAAATGTTATGGAAACAGGTAAAGTGTTACTTAAACATTTCAGATATATTATACACAAGTGTAAACAAAGATTCACCAAAATTACCCAATATTTAAATAGAATAAGAAGATTAACATTAAAAAGACAGTAAGTTATTATCCATTTACACAAAATTATCAGTTTTCTTCAATTCTTTTAACATCTACATTTGCCTACATGCCATGCATGTTAAAGGTCTCTCTAAGTAAAAATTTCAATTGCTTGGCACAACCTCCCTTATTGCAAAGAGTTTTGTATCGTCATAAACGTCCTTTAAAAAGAAAGTGAGCTAATTCTATGATAGATTTACCAGTAAATATAAAGGGTTATCAGTAATTGATTATTTTATTTTAACAGGAAGAAAATTGTTCCTTTAAATAGAAAAATAGAGCGAAGAGAAACTAGAAGAGAGGTAAGGAGAATCATGTTGTAAATTATCAGTGCTTGGAATAAGAATATATTTTATGACTGGTCCACTGTTGAAGCATCACATAATCTCCTAAAATAATGAAAAAGATTATTGCGATAATTGTAATGAATAATTACCATATGCCATATTATTGATAAACATTATTAAAAGATATTTTATCATATTGTATGCCTCATTAATGAAAACTTATTACTCAACTATTATGTTTGTAGGAAAAAGCTTTAGTTGCTGCTGATTTATCCAACAATATAGAAAAAGAATTATTAGAAAGATTAAAAAAAGGAACAGTAAGTAGGTTTCATTCAATCCCTTTAATGTTTGTTGGAAAAATGATAAGAAAGAAATCGTTTGGTAAAAATTATCAAGTTGCATTCAAGTCTTTAACCAGTTGCTATGTCCAACTCTGATGACATTCCGAAACAACACTACATTTGATCTGATAGTAAAAACACAGGAGCGAATGTAACAAGATTCATGTATTGTGTAAAATTCATGTCTTGATAAAATGAATATATTCTTTCCAACACCCTGATATATATCAGCTACATGTCAACAGAAATAACACCTTGAAGTATATAAATTTTTGTTTCTATTAAACCTTTTAGTATGGAGATATTTATAATTTCCCAAGTCATGCATTTGATAATGTAATGAAAGAGGAGGAAGTAGAAGAGAGTGAGACAGAAGAAGGAGAAAAGGATGAATTAGAGGGAGAGATGGAAGAAGAGGAAGAAGAAGAGGTAAGTATCAAAGGATTCTTATACTTAACTTGAATATCAGTTTCATTGCGCTCAAATTGACTACTAGTGTCTTCAAATTTAAATCTCTACTGCTTTACCATCAATTGTTTTAAGAATTATTTATCCTGGTTGTTGTTTTATTGTAGGGTGAAAGAGAAGTAGAATATGTCGCAGAAGAAGATTTTGAAGAAAGTGATGTATCAGATATGGAGGTATTTAGCATTGTTTCAAATCTGTCAATTATGCATTTTGTCTGGGAGAATTTTGATTCAACATTACTTTATAGAGTATTTATATATTCTGATTGATAACAATGGAACAGTCTTTATTCAGTGATCTGTGTTGATTATATTGATGTTCTAATGTTCAAAATCATATACATGTATAGAAATAAATGATAACAAGACAAGTGTAATTTGGAAAATGGGATTTTATCTTGTGTAACTGTGCAGTATCATGTTATCAATTCACTATGTAATAACATTGTATCATTACATTTTATTCCTTCAGGACATTGGTGATTCTGATGACAGTTCATCAGGTGAAGAAGATAAGAAAAAGAAAGCTCCAAAACGAAGGCGACCTAAGATTGAAATAGAATATGAACAAGAAATAGATCAGCCCTCAACATCAAAAGTCAAGATAAAATGAGATAATACATATTGGTTTTGTTTTTTATGGACTCAAGATTAATTGGTTAATGTATATATGTGTACTGGATATTAATTGAACATTAACATTTTGTTCTCTCTACATGCCTTCCAGATTTAACATCCTCATTAAATATGATGAAATTCCAATATTTGTACACTATCAACAAAACATATCTGTCATGTGAAATGTGAAAATGCTAGGTTAGATGAAGGTACAATATTGGGCAATAAAGTTTGAAATCAAGACCTTTGGTATTGACATGTAGACTTTATGTGCATGATCACCTCAATGGTAGGATATCTCTTTACCATAACCTTTATAGGAGTGGTGGGGTGTCTTCAGTTAATGGGGGGTGGGGGGGAGGGTGTCCTTTTACCATCTTAATGGGGGTGATGGGATGTCCTTTTACCATCTTAATGGGGGTGATGGGGTCCCTTTATTATCACTTAATGGAGTGGTGGGATGTCCCTATATTATCACTTAATGCGGGTGGTGGGATGTCCCTTTATTATCACTTAATGGGAGTGGTGGAATGACCCTGTATTATCGCTTAATGGAGTGGTGGGATGTCCCTTTATTATCACTTAATGGGAGTGGTGGGATGTCCCTTTATTATCACTTAATGTGGGTGGTGGGATGTCCCTTTATTATCACTTAATGGGAGTGGTGGGATGTCCCTTTATTATCACTTAATGGAGTGGTGGGATGTCCCTATATTATCACTTAATGCGGGTGGTGGGATGTCCCTTTATTATCACTTAATGGGAGTGGTGGAATGACCCTGTATTATCGCTTAATGGAGTGGTGGGATGTCCCTTTATTATTACTTAATGGGAGTGGTGGGGTGTCCCTTTATTATCACTTAATGTGGGTGGTGGGATGTCTCTTTATTATCACTTTTATCTTCACTTAATGGGAATGGTGGGATGTCTCTATATCTTCACATAATGGAGTGGCGGGATGTCCCTTTGCCATCCTTTATTGATAGTGGTTGGATGTCCTTTTATCTTAACTTAATGGTAGTGGTGGGATGTCTCTTTATCTTCGCATAATGGGGTGGTGGGATGTCCCTTTACCATCCTTAAATGGTAGTGGTGGGATGTCCTTTTATCTTAACTTAATGGGAGTGGTGGGATGTCTCTTTATCTTCGCATAATGCAGTGGTGGGATGTCACTTTATTATCACTTAATTTGGGGGGTGTCCCATTATTATCATTTAATGGGGGTGTCCTTTTATCTTCACTTACTGGGGATGGTGGGATGTCCTTTTATCTTCACTTACTGGGGGTGGTGGGATGTCAATTTATCTGTACTTAATGGGGGGGGGGGGGGGGGGATATCCCTTTATTATCAATTAATGGGGGTGGGGGAATGTCCCTTTATCGTCACATAGAGTGGTGTGAGAGTGGTCGGATATCTCTTTACCATCACCTTATGGGAAAGGCGGTATGGAGTTATAGAGTGGTGGTATGTCTCATTACCATCACATCAGCCCTATGGTCAGTGTGGGGCTTACGGGGGTTGGATCTTGGGAATTTAGCCCCAGCAATTGGTCTCTCAAAGCGTTCTTTAGTTCAATAGTGATTGATTAATAATTGTAGTGTGTTCATCTGATATTCGCTTTGAT